AAAATTAATAAACCCCTAGCCAATCTTATCAAAAAAAAAAGGAAAGAGAAAATTCAAATACATGCAATAAGTAATGAAAGCGGTAAAATCACTGCAGTCCCTATAGAAATTCAGAAGATCATTGTTGTGGTTTGTGTCTGCATGTGCCCCCAAATCCTCATGCAATCATGGGTTAGGCTTCTAGGATTTGTGATTGATCCATGATCCAATGCTGGGATTATGGATGTGAGAGCTATACCGACCCTGGGCCATGTAATTTGCATGAAATGTAAGGGAGGGAAAGAGGCTCCTTGCTGCCATTCCTCCCTTTTGCTCTTGTTTTTGCTGTGTTCTGCTGCCATCAACACTTGATGTGAACGCTGCCCTCTGCCATGTGCCACTCTGCCTTTGAACCAGCCCAGTATGGACTGAAACCTCCATAAACTGTAAGCTAAATAAACCTTTCCTTCCTTAAATTTGGGCATCAGGTATTTTGTTCCAGCAATGAGAGAAAAGTAACTAAGACAATTATCAATATCTACTTGGAAAATCTTTACCCTCATAGGATGGAAAACACAGAGGAAATGGACAGATTTCTAGATACATGAATTACCAAAGCTGAATGAAGAAGATATAAAAATCCTGACTAACTCAATATCAGTCAGTGAAATTGAGAATGTAATGAAAAACTTGCCAGTGAAGAAAAGCCCAGGTTTCATTTCATAGTCAGCTGTGTCCAAGCAAGGCAGCAAGGCAGAGGAGCATGGCAGAAGAGAAACAGTCCATGGCATTGCAGGCAGAAAGCAATGAAGTAGCAGCAACCTGCTATATTCTATCCAGGCTACAATCCTATTGATTGATGCCACCCACACCCAGCATGGAACTTCCCATTATGTACTCGCAGAACCATGGTAAACCAATTTAGTTATCACACATCATTAATCTATAATTGCACACCTAGACCTGTGATGTTGAGCCTTTTAGAGCTTTCAATAATAACAAACAGCCAGCTGCATCACATGTGCCATAGGCTGGTCATCACTGACCCAGATCCAGTCACCTCTGAAAAGCTCCACCTATAAGCACATGAGGTTTGGGGGAACATCTAAACACAAGCCACAGCAGCAAATTACTACATCACTATAAAAACACTATATTTTCTTTTTCCATTTATCTGTTGATGGACATGTAGGCTGCTTCTAAGATTTAGCTATTATGAATTGTGGGGAAAAGCCCATTTCAAAAGGACACATATTATATTATTCCATTTACACAGCCTTCATGAGTGAAAATAGATTAATAGTTGTCAGGGGTTGGGGTGAGTGTGGAGGTATGGCTATGGCTACAAATGGATATAAGAGGGAGTCTTGTGATGATCACAAAGCATTTTGATTATTGTAGTAGCTACAGAAAGTTACACATGTTGAAAGCCAGGTGTGGTCGTGCATGCCTGTAATCCCAGCACTCAGGAGGTTGAGGCAGAAGGATCATTGCGAGTTTGGGCCAGCCTGGACTGTAAAGTGAGTTCAAGACCAGCCTGAACTACATAGTGAAACCTTGTCTCAAAAAACCAAACAACAAAAAAAAGAATTAAAGTTACACGTTATAAAACTATATGGAGCTAAACACATACACAAATTAGAAACTAGTGAAATCTGAATCTTTTGTGAAGTGAATCAATGTTAATTTTTTTTGGTTTTGTTACTGTAATGATATCAAAACTTGCTGTAGTCACACAAGACATTAACAGTGGGGAAGAGTGCATAAAAGTTTAATAGGACATCCTTGTGCATTTCTTGAAAGCTTCGTATGAATCTATAACTACTTTAAAACAAAGGATTAAAACAAATGGGTAATGAGCAAGAGGGGAAGAAGGAAGTGTGCTCTAAAATCTCCCTGAAGGCAGTTGAAAGAAAATCTTTCTGGAAGCCTATTTAATATAATTTTTTCGGGGCTGGGGATTTAGCTCAGTGGCAAAAGCACCTGCCTGGCAAACACAAGGTCATGAGTTCGGTTCCCGGTACCGGAAAGAAAAAAAAAAAAAAAAAAAGTAAGGTAATATAATTTTTTCCCCAAAACTTGTACCTAGAATTCTTTCTTTGGTACTTCTAAGACTATTATCATAAATAAGAAGCTGTATGCAAAAAGAAATTTTCATGGCATTATTTATAATAACAAAAGATAATAGATGCAATTTCATTTTCCAGCCTAAGTAGAACTAAAGATGTCAGCATGTACATATACCCTGTGAAATACCAGTTGCTATTAAATGTGATGAGGAAAAGAAAATATGAAGTAGTGAAAGGAAAACTGCGGATGAATTGATAATAGGGACAAGATCAGGATATCAAATAGTTCATATCACCTTAATGTAAAAAAAGATAAAATGGAAATATGTAAGAAGAATATACATGGTGGTATGGTGAAAATTTGGGGCTTTTTTCTTTACTTTCTATATGTTTTCTTGACTTTCTATATATTTTAAAATATATATTTTTTATAACCAAAGATCAATACGTAGCAATCCCCCAATTTTTAAAACATTTATTTGAACAGGCTCAGGTGTGTACCTCTGAACAACACCGTGGCTCTAGGTGCTTAGAGGAGGGGTGTGCAGTGCAAGATGGAGAGTGAGCAGGTTGTGCAGCCTGCTCTCAGACTGACCTGCATCAGCTCTTTGCCCCAGAAGGGTATTTTCTACTTTCTTCTTTTTATTTCATACAGTTCAGAACTCAGGATAACACTATTAATCATCAGGATTCAGCTGTGTTAAAGGCAATCTTCACTGGGTAACCAGGTCTGGGACCCTAACAGTTACTTGCCTCATTTTTTCTGAATTTGAAATCACTGTTATCAAAATTGAACAGAATTCAGAGAGGCTGAACTATTCATCTAAGGTTACACAACTGATTTTGGAATCAAGATCATTTTTCATTTGGTAACTCTCCTGAATTCCATGTTGATTGTAATATGGTAGCTTTGAAAAGAATTCTTAATGATAAGAGGACACAAGGATTTAAAATATTTTACATATCCTGAAAACTCAACATCAGATTTATTTTTACATGTCTTTATTATTTCCAAGCATGCCTACTTAAGATGTCTGGGTTTTAGAACCTGCTTGCCTTCTACCAAGGACAAGGTGATCTTCTACCAGTGACAAAGTGATCTTCTACTTGACAAAAACAGCCGGTGTGGTGTGAGGTGTGAAAACACAAGATTAAAGAACAGTCATTGCCTTCATGAAGTTCACATTCCAGGTAAATAATTATAGGCAAGAATCAAACTCTGACCAGTATCTCCTGACAATGACTCTGACCAAGAATTCAGCAGGAGAATTACTCAACTTGGTAGCTGACTAGCATTATTGTTTACATAAATAATTAGAGACAAAAGTAATCACCTACATAATGTTCCCGGAGGAGAGAACAGATTTCTCTTTGCAAGCCAAAGCACTTTTGTTTGTCTTGGAAAACAACTGAAGCAAAAAGGCAGTAGACTTGAGGAACAGTGAGAATTGATTTGGCTAAACATTTTGTATTGCTTGACTATTTCCAAGAGATACAATAGTACCTATTAAACTGCATTGCGTTCAATGAAATTCCTCACCCTAAAAATAAGTTTATAGTTTAGCATAACTAATTTGCCTTTGAGTTCTATTCTATAAGAACAAAATATGACTTAAAAGCTGCTCAAACGTCAAGTAGCTTCTACAGCACTACATTTTGATGATTTGAGTAAGTGAATCAGAAGTACAGATTTCATTTTCTTTGTAATAAAGATGAGTTTACAAATAAGGGGGAACAGTAATTGCCCAAATACATTTTAGGAAATTCTTGATAGGTTTTTTTCCCCCTTAGGCAAATCCAGTGATTTTCACTTGTATCCTTAATGAATTATAGTAGAAATTTGACACAGTGTTGCATTTAACTTTTCCTTGCTTTAATATTTCATCTGAGGGTACTTATCATTGCAAAATTCAAGCTGTGTGGATGGTCACTGCATTATGTATGAATTTCTATTGAGTACGGAACAGAAATGTGCCGAATTCAGATCACTGCTCTAAATGGAAGTGAGATTGACTGTATCAACTTTCTTAAGGATTACATGAGTGAGTAGGAGAAAAAAATTTATTTATGTAAAACCAATTATTGTGTTTAAAAGGAAGTCCAGGAATGTGGATCATGCAGTATTTTTCCTAGGTTTGCTACAGAGTTTCATATCTAAGCTTTTTTCCACATATGGGTTTGTTTGATCCCTGTTTCAACTGAAACCCTTAGGAGTAAGTTTCATCTGTTTATGTGGTCTTTAGACAGACCACACTTTTCTCTGTGAATTGGTTGATAAATGGAATTGAGAGAAATTTCAAAGCATCATGATCTCATGCTTATGTTTTTTAAATCTCAAAGTTCCAGTAGTTCATTCTTTCTTTCTTAGGAAGTTTAATTTTAAGTGCCAGCCATATGTCAGCTTCTTTATAGGGTTCCAAAGGATTCTCCTTACTCTGAAAAAATGAAGTTGCCATGATTAAGATTTAATTCAAGGAAAGTCATTTAGCTCTTATGAAGTTCTCAAAGACATTCTTTATTATCACCCTCACATTGATTTTCCAGGATCATATCACACCACACTTAATTGTATAAAGCAGAGAATGTGTCATAAATATGAAAACTATATCACCCTGCATCCTATCTGCTAGAATTAAGCTATACCTAATATGGGAAGCAAAAATTATTTAGTCTCCATGTATCCAACTTGTACGTATTTACAGTCTGTTTTTCACTTAGGTAGTTGCCTAAGAGCAGAAGCATGAACTAAGTTATCACAGGAATTGCCCAACATATCAAACTTGTCAGCTGGTTTTTGACACCTATGTCAACACCAGATAGAAAGCAGTGATTGCAGCTTGCCAGCCACACCTCTCCACACACCCCCTGATGTTACTGATCATAGATAGGGCTGCCCTATGGGACAACCCAACAATGTAGTCTTACTTAATTTTTCACTAAATTTTGTTCGAATCTTTGCCCTCTTCATATAATATTGTCTTTTAACCTTAAGCTTCACCATAAAGATATCTTATTTTTTAAAAGAAAAATTAACCAGTATATTGAAGATGGATAATGTTAGAAAATTTACATTTTTACAAGCTTGTGACACATTTTATCTTATTGACAGATGGTTTTGACAAATGTCAGTCATTGTATTACTACCTTGCTACCTACACTTCTCTGAAAGCACAAGGTTAAGGACACATTGCGGTAAGTATTGAAACCCTGTATTTATTTGGAGGGAAGCATGTTTGAGACAGGTACTACTCTCTTGCCAACTTCAACTTTGAGCCAGGTCACCTGACAGCTTTGTTATGAGAGCAAAGACATGGTCCCTTGAACATGACTTCTTTGAATGTGTTATGCTTCTTCTCTCTTGCTGCTTTTAGTATTCTTTCACTGTCTTTGATTTTTTGGGGGGTGTCAGCAATCGAACTTAGGACCTCATGCTTGCCAGTCAGGCACTGCACCACTGAGTTGAAGCCCTGCTCCTATCTTTCTTTTCTTAAAGAGTAGAATACATTTATTGGGGGAAAGAAAGCTTCTGTCTGAGAGAGAGACAAAAGGAGACCTGAACGTGTTGCAAAGGAATCTGCATTTTTCTAGGGATTTTTATTGAGCTAAATCATAAGGTGAGGCAGGTTCAAGGTGGGCAACATGGAAACTCACTAGGTGGGCATGAGTTGGGACAAAACTATGATCAACCAATATGATTATGAGTACAATTGATCAGATAAAGTTGATGAAATTGGGATCAAATGGGGAAGCGAGTCTGTAGCAAGCAGACATGAATACAGATCAGGGGCTTTTGTTGTAGGTTGGGTTAGTGCCTCTTCCTGGCTTTTTCTAGGTGATTGATACCTATTTAGAATATCGATCCCTGGTGTCCATCCATAGGGAGGTATGTGGGTGCAATTGTTTAACATTTTGTCTTGAGGTCTGGCCCACAGAAGTGCCTGTCTCTCCCACAGTTACAAGGTATCTTGTCTTCCATACTGGCTCCCTCAAAGGCCTAGTCCTGTCAGACTGCCTACAACACTTCTTTCTAATATTTCTATCTATTCAATTGCCTACAACATTCCCCACTCTGAAGATGTAACCTGAACTTCCATGAGAGAATAATGGGCAATGACTGCTCTGGCTTCTTCAGGCTGAAAGGGGTCACAGTAATTGTTGATTGGCAGTCAAAGATACTTTCCAGAGGTTTTATCTAAAGGCTCTTGATAGACACTGGGCATTTTCATGTTGTGTATACTTGTAGCTTTAAGTCTCCATATAATGATCTCAGTGGAAGACCTCCAAATAATATATGAGAAAGAAACTCCCAACCTGAAAGATATCTGGGACAAATTTGAGTTCTCTAAAATAGAGAAATGAGTTTGAGGAACAAAGGAGGTTAAGAACAGAATGTATTTATAGGGAAAAGAAAGCTTCTGTCTGAGAGAGAGACAGAGGGGACCCAAGTGGGTTGCCCTGTCTTTCATTTGTGATGATTTGATTTTGATGTATCTTGGTGAATTTCTATTGGATTGAATTTGATAGAGACTTCTGAGATTTCTAGTCCTGGGTGTTGTCATCTTTCTCCAGATTTGGGAAATCTGTGGCATAATTACCTTAAATATGTTTTCTGGGAAAAAAATGATTGTAATCCAATGTGGCCAGTGTATCTAAAAATGTACCTTAATTTGCTAAAATTCTCTTACTCTTTTATATATTTTTGGCCTCTTGGTCTACTAATCTGTGTTTATCATAATTAATGTAATAAAACCTTATAAAATAAACAGACGCATCTATGCTGGCAAAATGTGTTTTCTCGGAATTTTTACCTCTTTTCTTTCAAAAAAATCCTACTATGCATAGATTACACTTCTTAATGGCACCCCATAATTCCCATAGGACTTTTTTATTCTTTTTCATTTTATTGTTCTGAATGGATATTTCCAAATATTCTATTTTTTTCTTATCTTATTTTACGGAAAAATGGTAAAACGAAGTTTCATAACAAAATAATAGGAGAATTACAGTAGTTAATACATTAATGTTGCTATCTTTAAAGAAGTGGCTCAGGGTACAAAATGTAGGCGTAAAAATTTCTCCAATCAACAGTATCACACACTTCTCTTTCTAATGAACTGAGACACTCATAGTATAACTGACTTGCATTTTTTTCCTTTTCCCTGCTGTCCTTTCCCCTTTCACCTATCTTAGTTCCTTTTTCCTTTTGATCAATTTCTTCTCATTTCAAAATATCAACTGTATATTTTAGAACTTATTTCTTCTTTCAGTTTCTCACACAAGGGAAACAATATGATATCCACATATGTAAGTCTAATTTATTTCACTTATGAGTATGGTCTCAAATTGCATCCATTTACCTATAAAAGCCTCTAGTTTATCCTTCTTTATGACTGAATAGTACTCCATTGTATAAAAAAATACATCTTTTTATACATTCCTCAGCTGATGGGCATTTGGGTTGTTTCCAAGATTTAGCTATGACAAATTGTGCTGCTATAAACATGGGTGCACATATGTCACTGTGGTATGATGTTTTTAATTCTTCTGGGAAAATACACGGAAGAGGAACAGCTGAGTCAAATGGGACCTCAAATCCTAGTTTTCTGAGAAATCTCCACACTGATTTCCGCAGTGGTTTCACCAGTCTACACTCCCACCAGCAATAGAAATGGGTTCCTTTTTCCACACAGCTCCTCCAGTATTTGTTATTGGTTGATTTCTTGATGATAGCCTTTCTTTCTGGGGTGAGATGAAATCTCAGTGTTATTCTAATTTGCATCTCTTGAAAGACGAGTGATGTTTAACATTTTTTCATGTATTTATTTGCCATTTGTATTTCTTCCTCTGAGAAGTGTGCATTCATCTGGGATGTCCATTTTTTTTGATTGAGTCTTTGAATTTGGGGGTTCTGATATTTTTTAATTCTTATATGTTTGCGATAGAAGTCCTTTGTCTGAGGGAAAGTTGGCTGAAATTTTTTCCCAATTCATGGGTTTTCTGTTGATGATTTCTTTTGATGTGCAAAAACTTTTCGATAAGATGAAATCTCACTTGTTGATTCTTTGAAGTATTTCCCATGCAGTTTGGTTTTTGTTCATGAACTCTCTGCCTACACCTAAGTCTTCAAGATTTCTACCTACTTTCTCTTGCAGTAGATTGTTTCTGTTTTAATATTTACATCTTTGATCCATTTTGACTTTAGTTTAGTGCATAGTGATAGACATAGTTCTAGTTTTAGTCTTTGGCATGTGGAAAGCCAGTTTTTCCAGCACCATTTATTAAAGAGGCTATCTTTCTTCTAGTGAACATGTTTGGCCCCTTGTCAAAGATAAGGTGGCTGAGTGTGTTTGTGGTTATATCTGCATCTTCTAATCTGTTCCATTGATCCTCAGGTCTGTTTTTTTTGCTAGTACCATGCGGATTTTGTAACAGTAGCTTTGAGTATCATTTCAAGTCGGAGATTGTGGTGCCTCCTACCTTACCTTATTGCCCAGGTTTGCATTTGCTATTCTAAGTCTCTTCTGCTTCCAGATGAATTTTAGGAATGTGTTCTCTAGTTAATGTGAGATATACTAATAGTAGTTTGATCAGGATTGTTTTAAATCTGTACAGCAATTTTGGGAGTATGGCCGTTTTCACAATGTTGGTCCTTCCTGTCCATGAGCAAGAGATATCTTTCCATTTTCTGACATCCTCTTGGGTCTCCTTTTACAGAGTACTGTAATTTCCAACATGTAGATTCTTCACTTCTTTTGTTAGATTGATTCCTAAGTATTTCATTTTTTGAGATACTATTGTGAAGGTTATGATTTCCCTAATTTCTCTCTCATTGTGTTTCTTTTTTGTGTACAAGAATGCTATTGATTTTTGAGTATTAACTTTGTATCCAACTATGGTGCTGAATTTGGTTATTAAGAATAGAAGTCTTTTGCTTGAGTTTTGGGATCTTCTATGTAGAGTATCTATCACCTGTGAATAATGATAATTTTACTTCTTCCTTTTCTATCCATTTTTTTTTATTTGTCTCTCTTGTCTAATTGCTCTGGCTAATTTTTCCAGAACTATATTGAGTAGGAGTCATGAAAGTGGACATCCTTGCCTTGTTCCTGATTTTAGAGTGAAGGCTTTCAGTTTTTTCCATTTAGCATGATGTTGGCTTTGGTTTGTCAGAGATAACTTTTATCCAGATTGAGGTAAAGACCATTTATTCCAATTTTCTGTATTTTTTTAACTTGAATAGGTGTTGGACTTTGTCAAAAGCTTTTTTTACATCTATTCAATGACCATATGATTTTTGTCTTTGACACTGTTGATATGGTGCATTACATTTATGAGTTGCATATGTTGAACCATCTCTGCATTCCTGGGATGAACCCCACTTGGTCATGATGTATAATCTTCCTGATGATTTTCTGCATTTTGTTTGCTAGTATCTTGTTAAGGATTTTTTTCATCTATGTTCATTAGGTTTTTTTGGGGGGGTTGGGATTTTCTCTGGTTTTGGTATCAGGGTAACACTTGCCTCTAGGAATGATCTAGAGAGTATTGCTTACCTTTCAATGTCATAAAAGAGTTTGAGGAATATTGACATTAAATCTTCTCTAAATTTCTTGTAGAATTAGCAGTGAATCCAATCAGGACCTAGGGTTTTCTTTGTTGGTAAGTTTTTAATTACATTTTCAATTTCATTGACTGAATTTGGGTTATTCAGAATTTTTATATCTTCTTGATTCAGCTTTGGTAATTCATATGTACCTAGGAATCTGTCCATTTCTTCTGTGTTTTACATCCTAAGAGAATAAAGATTTTCAAAGTAGATATTATGATCTTCTGAATTTCCACAGGATCTGTAGTGATTTCACCCTTTTCACTCCTCAATGCATGAATCTGAGTCTTTTCTTCCCTTTTTAGATAAGATTCCTGAAGGGTTTATGAATTTTACTCATCCCTTCAAAGAATAAACTCTTCAATTCTTTAATTCTTTGTATTATTTTCTTTGTCTCCACTGCATTAATTTTTGCTCTGATCTTTATAATTTCCTCCCTTAAATGGGCGTGACTTGCTCTTCTTTTTCTAGAAGCTTGAGGTGCAGCATAAGGTTGTTTATTTGTGCCCATTGTTTTCCTAATGTGAGAATTCACTGCTATAAATTTCCCTGTTAGGACTACTTTTATTGTGTCCCTCAAGTTCTG